TGATGGATGATGGATGATGGATGATGGATGATGGATGATGGATGATGATGATGATGATGATGATGGGCATTGGATTGGGAATTGGGATTGGGAATGAGGGCCTAGGGCCTAGGGTTGGTTGGCTGCTGAGCTGGTTTGTCTAGGTCCAGGCGGTCTAGGAGTCTAGCATGGATGCTTTTTGGCTGAATGTAATGCCACTGCCAAACAAACAAACGCTGCTATGTTCTAGAAAGGGCCTTCATTTACACACACACTCAGACTGTACATTAACACATGCTTTCATGTTTCGTTTCGCCGCGCGCCGCCGCCAACTGCCAACTGCGACCTAGAATCCATTCTCGTGTGTTCAGGTTCTCCCTCACGAGCAGCTGCCCACTTTAGCAAGTAGACAAATCCCTTTGGCAAATGAAACCCTGCTCGTGATGCGAATGCCCTCTTTCTTTTTTGGGAATTCTTCTTCTGCCTCAAATCATCGTCATCTGTGCTGCAAGCCACCAATGGCGCTCTTTTTGCGCTCATGCTGCTGCCATGGCGTCAGACCACATCCCCGCTGCAACTGGTGGCCCAGACACAATGTACAAAGTACAAACAAATTTGCAACTTGAACTTGAACTTCAACAGTTGAGTCATGTCCAACATGTGTAGGCCGGCTAGCAGTGGGCCAGTGGGTAATGGAAACAGTGGTACAAGTAAGTAAATAATGCCTACCAAAATTTGGTAACCAAATCTGATGCCATGCCGACCTCAGGTTGCAGCGTGTTCTCAGTAGCTCTCTCTTTGTATTTTTCCATTTGTTGTTTTGAGTGTTGCACCAATTGCCATATATTGTTATATCCTATATTTATTTATATATGAAGTGTTGCGCCTTTCTGCCACGCTGGTGACTGCACACCGGCAGCGGTGCTGCGGCAACCAAAGAAGAACCCGTACGTAACATGTAACAAAACAACATATTTTTGGCCTTCCCCTTCTTCCCTTAGTTCCTCAGATTCGGATAGTGAGAGTGATTGCGATTGGGTTCTTACTTACTGTACTTCAAGAAAAGGAAGCGGTGCTTGTCAGGTGCGTAAGCTGCACATCAGAACAACCGTTTTACCTGGAGGTGCTTTCTTGGTAGCCTTGTATGTCCCGGTTGCGGGTTGCGAGTTCTTAACGTAGCTCGCGAGAAAGCATAGGTTTCTCATGCTTGAATGGGCAGTCGCGCCTACTGCACTTCCCTTTGTTCTGAAACTCGTAACAAACGCCTTTCGGCTTTTTGTCATTTGGGTCAATGACAGGAGCTGCAGGGTCTTTACCTCCAAGACTACGCTTCGTGGCATCCCTCATCTTTTCCAAACGTTTTCTTTCGAGGTATGCCTTGGCTGACTTAATCAAAAAGTCATAAGTCTTTTCGGCACTCCCTTCCGAGGCGCGTTCGTAGATGGCAAGGTCATGAGCTAAAGGCTTAAATTCTTCACAGCAAGATGAAAATATGCCTCAAGCCACTTCTTGTCAACTTCCGTTCGCATCCCCGCAATGACAGACTCCCATCGCGTGACAAAACCTTTGAGGTCCTCGTTCACCATCTTAACACAGATAAGATCTTCAACATCGTAAATAGCACCGTGCTTGATGGATGTGGCAAAGTACTCATGAAACAACAAAAGGACTTGTCGTCCCTTGATTGGTTCCTTCGCCTTTTCTTTAGTTTCCTTGAATGTGTTCAGTTGGCGAGCTAGGTCCCCCTCCGCACAGTTCGTGAGACTTGAGAGGAGCTTGGCATCCAGCGTGATGAATCCCTCGGAGTCATCCAAGTCCTTAGTAGTCACGGCGTCTTCATAAACCTTACCTAGCCACAACCTGGCCTTGTCCGGCTTAGCGGATGCCGCTGACACGTTGTCCCGAACTTTAATTCGCCAATCCCTATACCTTTCAGGTGTAGGAAACTTAGGAATAAGGATCTTCTCGGCTTCTTTAGCCCTCTGTTCACGATCCTCTTTCTTCATTTTCTTCAAATGCTTCCTAACCTTACGGGCAAATGATGAGTCCTCAGAAGATGAGCTCGACGATGAAGGTGACTCGGATGGTGAAGGTGACCCCTTTTTATTCTTCTTTTTGTTCTTTTTACGGGGTGATCTGCCACGCTTCTCTTCCTTGTCATCTTTCTTCTTTTTCTTCTTGTCTTTCTTGCTCTTCTTCTTGTCATCGGATGAAGACGAACTTGATGAACTGGGATGATCAGGCGGACCACCTCCAGCTGCCTTCGGAACGTTTACCGCTCCGCTCGCATGAGCCTCACGGTAGGGTTCACCTGAGCTATCAGTCATTGATCTTTGCATAGGATGATACAGCTGACCAAGAGGCAGCTCGTTTGAACCCATTGGACCGGGAAGAGTTGTCCTGAGGTTCGCTGGCATTCCAGCAGGCTCAAAGTTCCCTCGAGCGGATGTTTCCATCTTCTCTCGAAGTTCTCTAATGAGCTCTGTTTGGGTTCTCAACTCTTCTCTCAACTGCGATTCACGACTCTGTGCCTGTTGTTGTAATTCTGTCAAGTTGTGATTATATAGTTGAGCTTCAGTCAACGCAGCATTCTTAATGACTGCTTCTTGTGCATTCATCTTAGCCTGTTCATTTGCCGCCCAAGATGCAGCCCTTCGTTCTTGTAACTCGAGTTGCTCCTTGACATGGTCTTGTGCCTCGCGGTGAATAGCTTCCACAGTCTTTTTCACCTCTTCATCTTTCTTGGACATCAGTTCCCTGTGTCGCACTTCTGCAATTTGAGCGACCTCAGCGGACTTGTCCAGATTGACATTGATCATTCTCTGATCGTGGAAGTTTGCCGTCTGATGAATGACTTGTCTTGAATCGTTGTATGTACTTGACGGAACAAAGGCAGGACTGGTGGGAGATAAAGCAATACAGGCAACCCTGAAAGGCAGGGATTTCTTACTCCCAGATATGAAACTGCATGGAACGCGTGGTCCTACCTAAGGTGGGGAAGTCAGGAACTGGATTTGGAATCCCAATGGTAACGCTGCAACGCTGCAGCTGGAAAACGTGCAAAATTTGTCCTTTCCAAGTGTAATCCCAGTGGAACGCTGGCTTGGAAACAGCTGTTTCTGTATCACAACAAAAGCAAATCCCATTGGAACGAGAGAAATATACAAAGATCTTTGTTTTTGTCTAAAAGAAGCAGTTCCATTGCGGGAATTCGGTTTTCTCTATCAAGCGTGTTCTGCTTCGCTTCAGGCTCCCTTTTTGGGAGTCTTGGTGAACCTCTGTGCCCGGTTGTATGTCGTACTGGAAATCCATGCTTCTCTTCCATCTTTGCTTTTGAGCAAACCCGAGTTCACGATTCTCTTTGAGAATTCGACGTACAGAGGCTTGGTCTTTGTCACGCATGGCCTGACCATGTGTGCGATGTAGAAGCTTGCCAGGGGCTTCAAAGATTCTCGCTTCTTTTTGTGAAACATGCACAGAATAATCCAACACAGCCACTGTCTGTATTGAGGTCCCATTCTGTATCAGAACAAAACTCTTCAGCGTCAGGTGCTGGATCCACCTGCATGGGCGCTGGTGTTGAGGGAGCAGAAGGAGCAGAAGGAGCAGAAGGTGCAGCTGCAGCCGCTGCAGCTACCCCCGGCCCCACATCAGCATCATCTTTGCTTTCATCCGAGCGCCGCCGCAGCTCCTTCATCAGATTGTCAACTTGCGAAAGCAGCTTCTGGTCCTTCTGGCTCAACTCAGCGACCTCCGTCTCAGCTACCGATTTCTGCCAGCCTTTGCGATGTCCCGTCTGATGAACTTTGGCATCATCTTCGCTGAAGTTGACATTCGTTTTGCCACAGCTATGACAAAGTCGGTGGATTGAAGCAACCCAAGCTCCACACTCACACTTGCTGCGCTTGGGGCTCACTGTGTCCAACATCTCTATTGCTTTGGACGCTCTTCTCTTGGAAGGAGTAGCATGTGCCTGATCTCTTCTGCTCACAAACAACTCGTCCTTGCGCTGCACAAACAGTTTGTCACGATCCCACGCACGGCCTGCCTCCAAGCCAATGTGCTTCCAAGAAGCCAGAGCATATTTGGAGCTGAGGGCGTGATCACACAAAGACGATGCAGCCTTCAGGCCCATGAACAAACTGATGGATTGGTTCTTGGCTGCGCAGGATTGCTTAAATGACTTCCACATCCGGCTCATTTCAGCGTGACAGCTCTGGTCCAAAGGGCACAGCCCTTTAGTACTGTATGCTGGTAAATAGAAAGGGAAGACATTGTAGTGCAACGCCGCTTTGACAAAAGAGGTTGAAAGGTGTGGCCATGTCCCCCCCGCCGGTGTCGCAGACGAGGACTAAGGGTTTGGACGCCTCAATCCTTTTCCTCATTGGCTTGCAAAAGCACTCGATGAAAAAGTGTGTGAAGCTCTCGCTGGTAATGGACCCGCTTTTTTGAGCTTGAAATACCGCATCTGGGAAGCATGTTTCAAAGTCCTTGTTGATCTTGGAGTTTGAAGTCACAACACCTACTGGAAGGCGGGAGCCATCAGCAGGCAACCAACTGCACAGTGTAATGTGGTCGAAGGAAATGCTTGGCGTCTGGCCAACTGCGGTTGCTTGTTGACTTCTTGCGAGGACCCCGCGAAAAAGAACGTCCGAACGCGCCGATAATCCTTTTTCGTCTGTGCAGCATAGCCGCGCGGCTTCACTTTCCAGTGGCACCTTCTGCTTGCTCATGATTCCAGTTTCGCAAAGCAGCTCTTCTAAGTTGGTGACTGCGCGAGCCATGACCTGCATGGTGCAACAGGATATATCAGGTGTTGCGACTCTCTCGTTCCTCGTCTCAGCCAGCCGCCGGTGGGAGCAGTCGGAGCCTCAGCAACTTCAAGCTGCTCAGGCTCCGGTGGTTCAGTCGGAGGTGGCAAAGGCGGCTTTTGGTCAAGCTCTTCTTCAATCTCTTCTTGGATTTGCTCCTGCTGCCTCCAGCAGTCGTAGCAGACCCCTGGAACTGGTGATTTGTTGTCTCCATCGACCCAGCTCAGGCAACTGTGGCGCCGCTTATGGGCCCGCACCTACGGCTACAAGTGCGCAAACGATCTTATGGAAAAGGTCATGTAAAAAAAGGTTCCTCCCCTGCAAAGTACTCAATAGGAAAGAGAGGGCTCTGTCAAGACGAGCGTCTGCCACATTGGAGGCGAAACACGACGAACAAAAGTTGTCAAAGATAGAGCAGTTCTCTTTGGTCAACGAGACACCGCAGTCATTGCACTTTGCAATCTTAGGCTCTTCCGTTTGGCCTGAAACGGCGCAATGTATCTACTGTAGAGGTGGCTAGAACTTTCAAGTCCAATTCCAATGAGCCCAATGAAGACAAGCTTATATTGCTACTTCGCCTGTCACCACCTGCTAGCATCTATATTAAAAATATGAAAACTAAGGTGCTTTTTATCGAGGTCCAATCGAGGTTCCAATATTGCATGTGTGAGCAGTGGGCCGCTCATGTACACTTGTAACTTGTAAAAGATATTCTGCTGTGCCTTGTCCTGTGGGAGAAGGCACTGAATCTGTGGGAGCAGCTGCTGGCTCGTCTGGGCGCCAGATTCTCTTCGCCAATTTCGCACGCAATTCCAGAACCCCACTCTACGCCCCATTCATCCAGCGCGAGGCAAAGATTTGCCTGGGAGAGTCTAGCGATGGCAGCCTGAGAGAATTTCTTCGGGGCCATCAGCAAGGCAGTGAAACAGAAGGACGCTACATAGAAAGGGGCTGTCTATTAGATGTCATGAACTACCGTGCTCAGTTCCGTTTGTGGTGATGGCAACAAACCGAAAACAATTGGTTTGTTTGTAGAAGGACATGTAAAGTCCTTAGGTCCAAGGTGTGTGGTTCTTGTGACGCCTGATTCAGACGTCTTGAACCACTCTTGCCACAGACATCCTGTCGCGTTTGCGGTTTCAGCCCGACAGGAACCACTTTTATCCACTTGAGCCAAACCAATCCGGGGCGTAGTTAGCCCTCTATTCGTCTGGCTATCCTCTCCATGCAATAATCCACTCTCCACCTGAGGCGTCATCAAGACGGTCATTCGGCTGGGTGTGATCAACGTCCCCCCCGCAGGTAAAGCGTCTCAGCCATCCAATCACACGCGTGCTCATGCACCCCCCCCGGCCAGGGGTACGCGAGCCGCCCTTCTATGGCTCTATGCCTTTACCTGAAGGACACCCAAATTGAGTGAAACTCTAGTTCTGCAGAAACAGTATCATGCAAAACAAACAAGTGAAAAGAAGCAAGTGCACTCAGGAAAAAGAGCAGCAGGTCCCAGGTGTATCCGCGCAGCAGCGGAAGCGCTCTGCAGCCGCACGTAGGGCTCAAGAAGCCAAAGGACATGCAACGAAGAGCTGCGCCTTATCCTTGGTGAGTCCCGCGCAAGCGCAAGGCGACTCACCCACAAGAAGAACCCAAACCTACTCTTGCCCTGAACTAGGGCCTGGAACCGTCTTCCAAATTTCAAGGCCAATGGCCTGCGGGGCAAATTTGCATGGTGCTAAGGCTTTGGTGAACAAGTCACCAAGCTGATCCTTAGTTGGTGTCTGCCTTAGCTGACACCAAGACGTAAACGCCTCGTGCAAGGACGCCAACGCCAGCCGCGGTGTGCGCGCAAGGTGACGAAGCTTGATGCTATATCCCTTCTCTATTGCCTGAACCACGGCTGAATTGTCTTCGTGTACGATCGGCTTGGGGGAAAGTTCGGGTGTCAGGAGTTTTTCAAGCAACATGACAGCAGGGAGCAGTTCCTCGTGGAGACCTTCACTCAAAGAGTTGAGCTCCGCATCTGCCGTACTACGTGCTACGTGCTGCTGCCTTCTAGAACTCCAGGCTATAGGTGCAAACGTACCCTGAGGTCCCTTCACCACTAAGAACAAGCCAGAAGTGCTTTTTGAAGTGAAGGGGCAACCTCCTAGGTCCGCGTCCACAAAAAGGTCCAAAGTGGATGACTGTGGGGAATCGTGAACCTTTGACACCAAACAAAGCCCTTGGGTAGAATGGAGATAGCTGACTAGGCGGAAGAGTTGTTTGTCACTATTTTTACTCCACCTGGTGACTTGTGTGGCTAGTGACCCCACGGCATAGGCCAAATCCGGCCGCGCCAGCCGTGTCAACCATAAAAGTTTCATAAGAACGCTTGACGCCTTAGCAGAAACTTGGCCTTCTACTTCATAGTCCTCTTGTGTCAAAAGGCTGTCTGAAACATAGGGGGTAGAAACCTTGCGAAACTGGACCTTCCCAGAACCCCCCGCAGCCTCAACATACAGGTCAATGGCCTGCTGACAATAATCAAGCATATTGAACACGCACTGACTTCCGTCAATTTCGTGAGTGCGGCCAATGAACTGGTTCAATTGCTCAACCTCGTCTAGTTCCACCTTGCGTTTGAGAGCTGCCCAGAATTGGTCCTGGTGGCGCTCTGGCCCAGAAACCAAGACGTCGTCAACATAGATGACAACGAGCAGCTTCGTCTTGGGGCACATGAACACACTGGGGCGCCCATCAACGGCTTCTAGGCCTAAGTCTCCGATCAGCACCTGACGAAGGTGAAGATCCCAAAAGGCGGACGCCAATGGATGGCCGTACAAGGCTTTGTTGAGTCGAACCGTCGGGTTCTTGAACCTCCCGTGCCAGGAGTCCAACCACAGTTCTTTTGGTAAAACAACGTATGTTTCTTCTTCTGTCAACAACATGGCCTGAAGGTAGGCCTTGCAGCAGTCGGCGGCCCGAAGGGTGTTTCCTTCGAGTAGCCCGTAGTAGATGGCCAAGTTGATAGCCTGAATGTTGGTAGGAGTGGCAAACATTTCACCAAACCGTGCTGCGCCTCCCCAAGTGTCCCGGACGTCATCGCCTCTGAAAACGAGACGCCCCTTATACTTCCGCTTGGGAATTGATTCCCAATGCTTTATTGATGCTATCGGCATGACTTCGGCTACATGTATTGTTTTGCCATCAGCTCTAGCCGCGGCCAACCGTTCAGCTTTTTCCATAACAACGGAATCATCCCAAACATCTCTTTGGCGAACACCCTGTCCTTCATCCCTTATTGCCTGAAGAGCCTTCGGGTCCTTTCGCATCTCTTCTCGCGAAAGTAACTTGTGGATTGTCCCCAAAACTGAAACCGAAGGAAGGTGAAAATCTGACAATCTTTCACGATGGGGTTCAGGATGAAACGGCATGATTGGCATCGCCGGAATTCGGTCGGCAACAACTCCAGGAAACAAGGTGGTCAAAATACACGTGGCCATGGCGACATTGTAGACACCGGACTTGGTGGTAAGGGAACCCTCCAGCAAATCATGTTTATGACCCTTAGGGTGCTTGCATCTGCGTGAGGAAAGCGCTTGTCTCAACCGCTCTGAGCTGGTTTGAAATGTCCATGGTTTCAAGGGTCGCTTACCATTGATATTTAAACCAAAAGCGCAACCATCAACTTGAACAGGTTTCATGTTGAGAGCGACAACCATTTGTTGTACAATTTCCTCTTTCCAACCTAGGGCGCCCCGAGGCCACTCAAAGGTAGATGTGCCCCCCCGCGAACATCCAGCAAGGTCAGCAACTTCTTTGTACTTTACAACAAGGTCCAAAGACTTCGCCCTTTCGATCTCAAGTTTGTCTCGGTATTCAGCTCCTAGTTTGTGCAAAGCCATGTGTTGCCAGGAAGACCAGGTAGTACAAGGAATGGAACCCCAAACGTGAACCGGACCACAATCGTTTTGGATTTCTTCTTGCAACCAAAGCATCAACTGTTCAAAGTGATCTGGGTTCTCAACATTCAAGGTATTCTTGGTTATTCCAAGATAGGGTATTCCAAGATGGCGGGCAACCCTGCAACAAGCACTTTCATTTTCGCAACAAAACTCAACAAACAAACCCATTCTATGTTCCCCGACTTTCTTCCCTACCGAACCACCAACAAGCTCTCCTATCTCATCCAAATCTCCAGGGTCGGTCGGTGTATATGTGAATTCTTCGTCTGAGTCTGAAGGACAAGTCGGAACGCTTTCGGAACCCTCAGGATGGTCAAGGACATCATCCACAAACAACATCCCAACGCTTGTGTCTTCTAATGTGGAACCCTTTTGACCTTGTTCATGAGACTCCACATCTTTCCGAGGCGGGAGTGGTTCCGAGTCGTTGAGTAACCTGTTGAACCTCTCCCTACATTCCGCAGTGTGCGAGTAAGTGCCTAAAAGACAGCCATCACAGTACTCAGTTTGGCCATACTGTTCCAAACGACGCTTAGTAATGGCTCGGTTCCGGGTTGACACATCGACTTCGTCGGACCAAGATATCGGATTGTCAAATTCAGGAGGTTCACTGGGCATTGGGGTAACAGGCTTGAGCATGGGTACGGACGTCAAGGGAAACACCCACTTTCCTGAAGGTGCAACAATGTCTTTGGTGATAACTTCCTTCCCACGACCCTCACCCGTCAAAAGCTGAAGGTCGTACAAAACATGTGTGTCCTTGAAACGCATTGCAGGCAAAACCTCAGGCCCTACATAGAGGGCAGGTACTCCAGTGGGTTGAAAAGAACCATGAAAATCTCGCTTTTTGTACCACACCAGGCAACCAAAAGGAAACATTCGACCTTCAACGGGGTATGCTAGGCTTGCTTTCCCATTCTGGGGTGTCGGCCTCTTCAACTCCTTCTTCTAGAACTTCTCTACCAGCTCGGTCCCTCAAACCACCTTTCTCAAGCCTAGGCGGAGTTGTAGCACTGTACTGGTAGGAAAAACAAGTCATTGCTTTTGGCCAATGCTTGATGCTGAGGCCGCTTTGCAGGAGCAAGGACCGAGTTCCTTGACGAACTGTTTTGATTGCCGATTCAGCTAGTGGGTTGTGGAACTTGTCGCCTGGTGGTGAAGATTCCGGGTGCATACCAAGCTCGCGAATTGCTCCAAGAATGCTGGAATAGCGGTCTGACGCAACAATGGGCTGGGATTCCCTGCAGAAATGTTTTAAAGCCGATTCAACAGAGGACTGGGATTTGTCACTTGAAGGGTACGCAAACAGCACACCGGAAAACTCATCTACGCAAACAAGAGAATACTTTTCCCCTTTGGACCCTTCCTCAACTGCCTCAAGATGGTCGCAGGCTATCCTTTGCAGGAAGGCTTTTGGGGCTTCTACAACCTGAGCAAGTTGCTTGCCTTCAGATTGATTCTCAAAACGTCGGTGCGCGTGCGTTCTAAGCTTGGCTTGACGACACACATCACACGATGGCAATGCGGGCTGATGAGTAAGGAGGTGATCTACAGGAATTTTCTTTCGCTTGGGCTCTTTTAGTTCCTTGGGAACTGGCTTTTCAGCTGGCGGATGACCTGACGTGTCTGGGTTCGGCAGACATGAAATGTCCCCAACCGCGGATTCATGAGGTCGAGATACATCTTCACGCAGATGAGGGCTAGGTGGAGACGCCGGTTTCTCTGGGCTTCCACTCGGTACCCGCTGGTCCCGCGCTTGGCGCTGATGACTCAGCAGGCATCCCGGGCACAAAAGTTGTTTCTTCCGTGAACACCGGAACACAATGTTCAACTCTGTCAGCAACAATACACTTATCCGCATCATACTCCACCACAAACCGCTCCATTGGAGGTACAAGTGTGGGAGAATGACCTGGCCCCCAGAAAAACGAAAACCCCTTTTCAACTAGCTTACCAAGACTTTTAACATACGGGCACGACCTCAACAAATACACAACTCCGTCTCCAAATTCCGAACCACTCACCCCAATCGTTTTGTTGGTGTCCTTCGGACCGCCCCCCGTGTCGAAGGTCAAGGGATTGCTTGAGATTGTCTCGTAGTCCCTGAGCACAGCTTCAGGCACTCCCTGTCTTGCAAAGGCATGATGAGAACTAAGGTTTTCACCTGCGCCTGAATCAAGTGCCCACTCCAGCTTGAATGAGCTGGTCCTGGGAAGTGCGGTTGCTGCAGTCGCGACACTCCCCAACACAGAAGCCCCAACCAAAGCTACCATCGCAGCTTTCGGCTTTGCAGTAGCCGCAGTCTTGGCCTTTGGCGCTGGCCCTTCATGCCTGTAAGGGCAATCATTGCCTCTGCGACACAAACCCTTGGGGTAAAAAACGCAAATTCCTTTTTCCTCCCTTTCTTCCGTTTTGCTTGTTTCGTTTGCCTCATGAGAAGATGCATTCGCTTCTGCTTTCTTACCTTTTTCCTTTGATTTACCCTTTTCCTTTGATTTCCCTTTACCTTTTTCACCTTTCCTTTTTTTCATCAACACTACTTCCTTTTCCCTTTTCCTTTCCTTTCTCACTCTTACCTTTCCCCTTTCCCCCGTCTTTCGAACTCGAAGCTGCCCCCGTAAGTCCAGGCTTCTTGTTTGGACCCTTCCGCAAACCTTCTTGAATGGACTGAAGGTTTTTGTCGTGCTGGGACTCAGCAATTGCCCTCTGCATGCGAGCCCACAAGTACTCATACGTTCTCTCGTGAGCTTCTGACGGTGACTCCCTAATTCTGTCAATAGTGAGCTGCAAAAACTTGACCCGCTTCAAACGTTCAAAGAGCCATTTTGCTAGCATGGAGTCCACCGGTTTCTCATTCACAGGAATCTGCCCCAGAATGTATTGGACCTTATCCCGGAAATTCTGCAACGATGGGATGCTATCATGTTCGGGGGATGGGATTTGGAAAAGCTCTACCGCAGATACTACACCTCCAAGCGCAGCATCCAAATCAAATTCCCTGACAACCATGTTCAACAACGGGCGTCCCCTAAGCTGGAGTCCTGAATTCATGGCCTCTTCCAGGTATGCTTGGATCTTGGTCCCAAAGTGACCTTTCAAACACTCCGGCTTAGAAAACCAAGAACACAACACCCGATCGAACCGAGGGAAACCTTCGCTGTCAGTGTTCCGCTGAAGAATTTCAGCTTTAGTCTTGGCATGAAAAGCTTTCATTAGCCAGTTTGCAAGGTGGTTGTGTTCAGATCTGTCAAGGGACATGAACATGGGAAGTACGGTGTTTCGCCATTGCCGCAAGGCCCCCGCAGACTCTGGTAAGGAGGGTAACCGAACTGCAGTCACGTCCTTCCAGCGCAAGCACTGGTCCTCCAAAAGCTGATCCGTGGTGTGATCTTGTTCTGTCTGAGAACCGTCTCTACTCAAGACACTCTGTCCACCTCTATTGATGGGTGTGCCGTCAGGAGAAGTCAAGCGAACGACTTCATGCACTGAGGTTTCTTCATACCAAGATTCTAGTGAAGACACTCGATCACTCAGATCCTCCAAGGTATGGCGAATTTCACGCCACATCTCATTTGCGGTCACCTCAAAACTTACCTGGCGATGTACTAGTTCGTTGACCTGATCCTGAAGAACCCGGAGGGAATCGGAAACGTGTTGGTGAGGAGAGCCCGCATCATTTTGACCATGAAGTGGTGAACCGCTGGAATACGCTTCTACGTTACGCATCGATGCTTGTGATTGCGCAATCCTTTCCAGCTGGGCAAGCAATTGTGCTTCCCTCTGTTCATAGTGGGCTCTCAAGTGGTCTTCCATAGCTCGCACTTGGTCCTGGGCATTTCTTTCAACCTGCGTTACCGCTTGCCTTGCCTCATTTGTGAGCTCTGATGTGTACCTTTGGGCTTGTTGCGCAATCTCTACTGTGGCTCTTTGCGCTTCCATTGATTGCTGCTGCGCCTCGATTCTAGCGCTTGCTACTGCTTGTGAGGCCTCGGCCACAACCTGGGGGTCTGCGGAGAAGATCTGCCTCTGGTCAGCGCTATACTGAACATGCACAGTGCGAGCATCGATCATCGTTGGCGCCTGGTCAGGGCGAAGGTCTTGTTGAAACTCTGAAGTCGCCGCCGTGTGCGAATCGTGTGCTTCAACGTTCCTCCTTGGGGTTGTGGATGCTCTACCCTCTGCAAAAATGTCGCGGATGGTACGCCGCTTCACTATACTTCTGGGTCGTACTGAACCAACCCGCGCAAGCGCAGAAGATGGTCCCCTACCGCGCCCCCTAGGAGTGTCAGATGAAGAACGGGAAGCAGCCCTTGACACAATTACCCCCGGGTTCCCCGGTACCCCACCAGCTGAAGATGACGAAATGTTCAATGAACTTGGTTGACTCCCTGATGATGCCATGAATTGCTACTTAGGCTCGCTGATAGAACTCCACCGAATAGGCGCGAGGACACCCCAATCTGAGCACTCTCAAAAGCGCGTCTGACAAAGTAGATGCTGTAGCGAACTGATCACTGGCGCAAGTCGTGAACAACACTGGCACCACCTGCCTTTCCTGACACGCCTGTAACACGCTGATCTTGTCGTCTACGTGAACACTGCAGCAATCCTTGTGCACTTCTGGTTTCACTTGCTGGGATGTAATGCACAACTTCACCAAACGACTCTCAGGGATGCCCTGACACCTCAAATAGTTATTCAAAGCCCGAATTTCACACTCAAGGCTCTGCCTACGCTGCTGACTCTTCTGACCGAACCGCCCAATGTACGAACAAACCCCAACTTGGTTGTAATGGGATGTCGCTAAGAACGAGCAAATGGCCTCTCTATTGGAAGTGGTGATGCCTTTGGCGGAGGGACCCTTAGCTACGTCACAGTCTAAAACCCCGTGGTAGTCTAACGAAACGCGCAACTCCAACCCTCTACGAGGTGCAGCCAAGGACGTGGTCTTCACTTCAGGTTGGTCCCTAGGGTTCAAGCTTGTGAGAGGAGCCGACAAACTGACCGGTTCCTTAGGTGGTGTCTCAACCGGCACCTCAGTCACAACAGGAGTCTCAGTATGAACTTTTTCAGTCGACAGTGCAGCTTCCAAAGGTTGTGGGTCAGCACTAAGAGCGTCAGAAGGTTGACGTCTGCGCACAAACAGGGGTAGTGACAGGTGGCTGTCAAGAACCGCTCAGCACTGAACCCACACCCAACTCTGAACCCTGACTTGAAGCTGAAGGCTTGCTAGATCCTACCTCTGCAGACTTCCTCTTACGTTCCTGCTCCGCCCGAGGGACAAACTCACCACGTTCGTACCTTTCACGAAGCTCTTTTTGTTTCCTTGCCTTCTTCCCACCGCGCTCACCCCTTTGCATGCAGAACCCGCGCAAGCGCAGAGGATCCGCTTATGTGCAGGCGAGGGTCTGAAGAAGCGGGAGAGAGAGCGAGAGAGAGAGAGCTCAAAAGCACAAAAAGTGCAGAAGCGCCAGCGGCAGCGCGCGCGCTCTGTTCCAAGAGGCTTTCGTTCAAGGAGCAGCCGAAGGGACTATGGCAGCGGCAACGGTCCAGCCTACGGCTGATTACCGCGTTTGCGGTTTCAGCCCGACAGGAACCACTTTTATCCACTTGAGCCAAACCAATCCGGGGCGTAGTTAGCCCTCTATTCGTCTGGCTATCCTCTCCATGCAATAATCCACTCTCCACCTGAGGCGTCATCAAGACGGTCATTCGGCTGGGTGTGATCAACGTCTGTCAATACAAAGTATCATCCGTGGACTGAGCTCTAAGTCACTAGTGGCACCCGCTCCACAATGACTCAAGCACATGGAAGAACATACAAAAAGGAAGAAACAGGTCTAAAGGAAAAACATGCAAAGCAGCTCCTCTCGGATAATAGTGGGCGTCTGGTGAGCTACGGAACTATCGCTACCGCCCGCAGGTGGCCGAAGAATCACGGAGAATGTAATTCGAGAGTCTCGCCCTTACCACGAAGGTGACCGAAAATGTACACGACACATCCCTTTTCACGAAGCTTCAGCCAAGGACTGTCTGCACAGTCGCAAATCCAAATAAAGCACTCTCGTGGATGTTCCAACGGCAAACCCCCGAGCTCGTCCACCCACAAGATGCTTCACCCCTACTGGCAACGGGAACAGCAGCACACATCGTGGCTGCTGAGGCCACGCCGAATTTCACTGCACATGATCCGGACCAACTCTATCGCACCAGCTGCCTTTAAAGCCTGCACTGAACGAGTGATTTTGAGCACAGTGGTAGCACGGGCACAGCAATAGCATACCGACCCTGCACAACGTCTGGCATTCTTCAACCCACGCCTACACATCCACTTGTGCTCATGCTTAGTAGCACCACAAATCAAGCAGCTTTGCGCTTCTGGTGGCACCCGGCCAGGCATATATGCAGCAGTTTGCTCATCACCCTCTGAGTCACACAGCCGCTCAAACACGGAGGCGTCCGAGGCCCTCAAGCGCATTGCTAGCTCGTAGAGTGCACCAGGCTTTGCGTCCTTAATGGACTATGGAATGCTCCCTGGTGTGGGTTCATATTCCTATCCATGGTGCCAAACATCAAACAGGAGGGGGTCAGCCAAAGGTAGTTTCCTGTTGGAGAACCAGGGATCCATGCATGCTTTTGCCATCTGTGAAGCCTGTCTAGCAGAATGGCGAAAAAGTGAAAAAAAAAACCTTAAGAGTAAATCTGTTTCTGAAAGTGTGCGTGTGTGTGTGTGTGTCCACACCTGTTCCAAAGGAAGCATTAGACACAACAAACAAATGCATTCTGACAGCTTTCAGACTTTCTGGTTCCCTCAGAACCACACTCTTCAACTGTGTGCCTGTGTCCTCAGCCGTCTCCAGGCAATTCTGCTCGACACACCAGGTATAAAATTGATAATTGTGTTCTAGTGTGTGTTTTTCGCACGTACACCACACACATACCAATCACAAGGCAAGGGGAAAGAGAAAGAACATTTGAGCAGCAGGTGCAGCTGTACGGCGAAGGCAGAACAGCTCATGGAACAGCAGGGCACATCAGAGGCAGCACCCCCAGCTCAGCCCCCACAGCATCAGAAACCCACAGCAGCCCCTGCCAAGTTGCTGGAGCTTGGTCTTGTTCTTCCTCTCCTGGTCGCTGGTCCTGTGCAGGGACAACAGTCATATCTGCAAGGGCAATGGGGTTTCAAAACGGCAGCATCAGCAACGCCGACAGGGAGGCAGCTCCCAGAGCAGAGAGGAAAAGAAAACAACTACCACAACCACTGACTCTCGTGCTTGAGGTGCTTGTTTCTGTGTTTTGCTTTTGTGCTTCGAAGCGATAAGCTGCCAAAAAAACCAAAAATACACACATGACCAGGGATTTTAGGGTGTCCCCCATGGGCCACAAAGATTCTGCATCTGATGTCCTCAAGGGGCTCATCTATATACATACAAATATTAAGTATATATTTACATATATATGTGTGTGTGACGGATTCATATGTATATATTTAGGCGTCTGCAGAAGGGTGATTTGCGTGCACAAGAACCCCTGCCACCTTCATCGGCTCATCCTCTGTGCCAACACGAGCTCTTTTGCTCTTTGGTGTGTAGATCATGGCTGTGGCCGCCAGCTTGAGGAAAAAAAAGCTCAAACATTCAACAAAGCACAATCACAAGCTGAACGCTGAAAGCACTGACTTCTAGTTCTACTGAACCTGCAAGGCAGTAGTTTAATAAGATTGGGCGAAACCGCCTTTCCGGTTTAAGAGTAGCACCGGTCGGAACGACTGGTGGCAACGCGTTCCCACGTGCTTCAACCAATGCGTCATCACCAGGCTCTGAAGTGAAGACTTCCGTCTGTACATATGACCCGTCCTCATCAGCATCACCGACTCTCGACCTCGATCGATCCGTGCCATCTCGAATTGGTTCGATGGGCCTATCAGCCATGCCACCTCACGTGTGCGCAATACGAGGGTGGGCCGGCGACACAGCTAAAATGGCGCGTACCGCTCTTTGGCGATACGGCTGATAGCCTGAATTTACAGGCCAACAGCCTACAAGTACCAACATGTAGAGCGCCCTTTTCTTGAGCCAAACATAGAGGTCGATATGGTATGTACAGGTGTACAACCGTGCAAATACACAAAGTGTTTCTTTGAGATTGTTGGCTTGCGACCCACGCCTTTCAGAAAAATGCTGTAAATATCAAAGTGTATATATATATTATATTATATTATATTATATTATATAGATATATTATAAATCAATCTCTCTCTCTCTCTCTCTCATGGCAAGGTGACCCACCCTTGTGTTCTACAAAGCTTCCAACGGCCGTGACAGAAGAAGGCGGCGAGGTCGAGCGGCCATCCAGGTTGCAACACCGCTCAAGTTTCAACAGCTTAATGCTCAACCAATGCTTGACCAATGTACAACCAATGTAGCAACTCGACTCAAGCCTTGGAAGGTGGCTAAGTTTGTTCGAGCAAGCCCTTTGCTTTCGACGTGAGATAATGGACATCTCAGAGTCTTTTCTGCTCATTGCAGTGTCCCATGCCATCCAGGTTCCAACAGCGCTCAAGCTTCAACAACTTGATGACTTAATGTTCAACCAATGCCCGACCAATGTGGCAACTCAACGCAAGCATTGGAAGGTTTCCTTGAGCAAGCCAATTGCTTTCAACATGACATAGCGGACATCACAGAATCTTTTCCGCTCATGAAGGTGTCCGGCCATCCAGGTTCCAACAATGCTCAAGCTTCAACAACGTAATGTTCAACCAACCAATCTAACAACTCAACCCAAGCCTTCATTCCACTCTTAACCTCCTAAGAAAGAAGCAAACATTGCCAAGCGTCTGAATCCGTTGATGACTTTCACTAGTCAAACTGAACAGAAAACTGAGCGCCAACTCGCAAACTGCCTGTGGATGTCATCAACTCTCAAACGCTGCCTGCGCAAACCATGCAGCCTTGGGGTTCTTGATGCGGCTGCCCTATCCAACAACAATGTACCAACTGGAAAACAATGTCCCAACGTGACCAAGCTAAATCTCATTGGGGTGGAGCATACCTGCCTGCACAGCCATGTCCCACGACTCCAGCAAACGACAACCAGCCCCAACTGAAGGAGACACTGCTAGAATGCACTGTCCTGGCTCTTCCAGCTGCCACTTCCGGTCAACCTGCCAAACACCGCTCAAACTCCTGCGGAATTCAGGCTTTGCTGGTGATGCCGTGCAGCACCAGTACCTCGCGGCTCAGTGCGGAAAAGATCAAGCACCTTTCAGAGTCAAGGTGCCTGAGCTTTCGCGACGCACCAGTCAGAGAACGAGTCCAAGGAACGCCGCGTCCGTTTTGCGCAAACCGGGCCAGGGGCGTACACTGCGTCGTGAGGGTTAAGGTCAGAATTCAACTCAAACATCGCCAGCCATGAACAGCAGCCGGAACCAAGGACCAACTGGCCGAGCCCATTGCGCTACTTGAGTCATCCTATCAAAACGGCCATGGGCTCCCTTGTTGAGCGCAGCCAACCGGGGAGGTTCGACGCGAGCCAGGGCGAGCCAGGGGCATCAGACCCTCAAGATGGGCCTCCCTATTCAAACTCGACCGACAGTGCAGCGAGCCTGCCACAAGCAGCCCCCCGCCAACACGTGGCCGAGGTAGCCTCTGAGAACACGGCCCTGCTACTGCTTCTCCCTTTGGCAACTGCGCCCATTGTAACTCGTGCGTCGGGCAACCCAACTAAGCAACAATGTGGATGTGTCTTTGCGCAATGCTTCAACCGGCTTTCAGTTTCAGCGTCCCCCCAGCCCGTCTCAAATTCCTTTCGTAGTTTGAGGACTTGACCCCAAGATTCTGCAACTTTACTGCCACTGGCCATTACCAGCCATGCGCTGACTGCTTCACTAACCCAGGGGGCTTGCCAGCGGAATTTGGAAACAAAAGTCTTGATAGCTCTGGTGAAGGAACCCTCGACCGTAAAGCGACGACTCGACGACGTTTGAAACGACAAGAACACTTAACCTCCCTTCAAGAGGCGAATGCCAAGACTTATTATGAGCGACTTGCTTTCTGAAATCCAGATCCGTAGGCGCAGAAACAGAAGCGAGTGATTGCGCGTCCCAACCCTAACAGAACCTGGATGACATGCAAAAGAAACATAACCGACCCGCCAGTTGTTGCATTGAGATGTGTGACCCACTTTCGATTGCAAGAAGCAAGATGAAAGCTGTTCTCAATGGAAGCATTGTCTGCTCTTCCGTAATCCTGTCTGTAAGCTTTAAACCCCCACAGGCTGACTCTTTGAACCAAGCCTATACGCCTCCGCAAAGTACCGAAGGACCAGCAAGCGGGCGCTGTGCGCCACCCCCGTGCTCCCTTCGTGCGCAAACCGTGCCGAAATTCGCAGAATTAAAAGCACACTCTTGTCAATAAGATTGCCGTAATCTCGACAGACAGCGGCGCGCTCAACCCCCTCACCAACACGGAAGTCTGCTTCTGCGTGGCAGCAAAAGCGAAACCCATAGCCTCCAAAGAGTTCAACACGATTGAAGAGGACTCTGTGATCATGCCTTGCAGACTTTCAGGGGGGGGCCTCGTCATAAGCTTGCCTGTCTTCCAACCGTTCACCAAACAGCTCTTCATGCGCCAATCCCACCTCCCTGCCCGGTTCGCCTCCAAAGCTCTTGGGTCGGCACTGCGGCTCTGCAAATGTCGCCGTATGGCGAAGCATCCATCATGTACTTGAAACTAGACAGTGAAGCCCTGAGGTCAGTTTGCAAGGTGGGAGCCAGCACGCTGTAGACTTTGTCAAGCGCTGAACACACAGGTCTCCGGAACAACAACACGGCTTTCAACAACCCAACAGTGAAGTCACAAAAGTTAACTGCAAGTTCTGGCAGCCGAAACATTGCCTACTGTGCCATCCACTTCTGCGCCCGAAACAACTGCGCGACCGACCTGTCTCTGACGCTTGCCGGGGCGTGCTGTCAACCCAACATCCTTGTAAGCCACTTATTGTTACAACCCACGAAGACGCCAACAAGCAAGGGCATGGAAACCTGAAGGACTGCGAAACAGCAACACGCTGCGCACCATCCCTTCTTTTTTCAGTCGCGAGACTGTTACTGTTGGGGCTGAACCATAGGCACAGCAGAATTCTAGACAAGCCCTGGTGCTTTGCACAGACGTCTTTCAGTGCTGGGGCAACCGAAAGTCAACCCCCTTACCCATTCTGTCCAAGGGCGGGCGGGCGGGGCAAAATCAATACCACTACAAACTGAGACACAGGCACACGAGAAACATCTAGGCACTCCTAGCACTCGAGGCCAGCACACTGCGGGCACATTCACCGCACTTTATCAACATCACGCTCACAAAAACCAGCAATGACAATCATGGCTGGTGGCGCCACAAACTCAACCTACATAGGCCACGGAGTTTGTTTTCTTCATGGGGCCGCAAACAATAAGGCCTGGTCTACAAGTAGAAGTTTGCATGCTCACAAAAACAAGCAATGACAATCATGACTGGAGGCGCCACAAACTCAACCTACATAGGCCACGGAATTTGTTTTCTTCATGAGGCTGCAAACAATAAGGCCTGGTCTACAAGTAGAAGTTTGCTTATTGTTACAACCCACGAAGACGCCAACAAGCAAGGGCATGGAAACCTGAAGGGCTGCAAAACAGCAACACGCTGCGCACCGTCCCTTCTTTTTTCAGTCGCGAGACTGTTACTGTTGGGGCTGAACCATAGGCACAGCAGAATTCTAGACAAGCCCTGGTGCTTTGCACAGACTGTCTTTCAGTGCTGGGGCAACCGAAAGTCAACCCCCGCTACATCATCCGACAGCCCGGAACACTTGAGCAGGTCAGGAGAACTGACCCTAGCACGTGCAGCTCCTATTTCCTGGCACAACTTGAAATCTAATCGCGAAGGTGCATCCGCTATGTTGGAATGCGTGGGTACTCGACAGAAATAAGAAACGATGCCCAACTGTGCTTCGAGGGACAACGCAGAATGGATCATGTTCCTGGCATGTTTGGTCTTCGCCGTGGCAGACACCCAAGCATGTCGCGCAGCATCATTGTCAATGAAGACTAGCAATAGACAGTCTTTCAACCTGTCAGGCCAGCAGGTCAAAGCAACGAGTAGAGGCATGATCTCTGCTTCGAAGTTCAACTGCTTCGCGGTCTTGGCTTTGCTCCACCTAAGCACGGCGTCTCTTGGCACAGGCTCCCCAAAACAGGCAAGTGGCCCGTCAGCTTTGTCGATGAGGACGCCACCAACAGAGCACTGCGCCTGCTCATGCACATGCTCGCAAGCTCCGTCCAAAAAAAAGCAGCATGGTCCATGGAGAACCCTTTGCTTCAGCCATGACAATGCCGCCAGCAGATCCCCACTTACAACCTCATCAAAGCGTGCGTGCTCAGCGTGCTGTCCCAGAAGGCTCATGGCCTTCTTAGCGAAGCGACCAAAAATCTGCGAGTCAGCAAAAAGCATGCGGGACCTAAGCGACGTGGCCGCTCTGAAAGAGAGTCTCTTTGACACCAGCACCGCATCAATGACCTCCGACAGTTCCTGCTTGCGGGAGTCAGTGTTCGATATGGCC